CTTCTTCAAGTGGTTGAGAGTTGAGCGACAACAGAAGTCGAGAGGTTTCACAACGACCTCAACTTTTCTTGAGACCGTTAGGTTTTGTAAGTTCACAGTCGGACTTCAAGGATGTGATGAGGTTTTAGGCTGGGATTTGCTGCAGTGGAACGGCGAGAGAAAGGTCCTTCATCCCAGGCCCCGATTCTTGAACTTGTTCATTTGAAGAAGCTTCATGAAATTCTTTCTTTGGGAAGCGACCTCATTGACCGTTTGGGTGCTGGCGCCATGTTAGTCTGCATCTATGGCAGAGCTCCTTGGTCCGACTTGCGATACATTGACCACGTTGATGTTGAGGCTCGGCGCAACGGATCCTTGGTCCTGTATACTCGTGAGCGCAATACATCCGCTGTTGGGATACGTCGTGAACAGTATCTACCGCTCGTCATCCCTTGGGAAGGTGTGGTCAGTGATGATTGGATCGAGGTCTTGTTGAAGGTCTACGAGGAAGCTGGTTTAGATATGACCAAGGTTCCTCTCGGGCCCTTTCTTCCTGCTCCAAAAATAGGAGGAGGCTTCTGCGCGAGGCCGTTGAGCGCCCAAGAAGCAGCTCGGTGGTTGCGCCTTCTTCTTTCAGGGACGCCAGGTTCAGAGAAGATTCGTTGCCATTCGCTGAAAGCTACACTATTGAATTGGTGTGCAAAGGCTGGCTTAGACAAAGAGGTTTGCGCAGTGCTTGGCCATCATAGCACTGCGTTGCATGGTAGTGACATTGTATATTCACGTGAGCTTCAAGTCAGGCCGCTCAGGAAGTTGCAGATGTTACTCAAAAGCATTCGCATTGGCTTGAACCTTGAGGACATTGCATCACAAGGAACTTTGTTGGCTGCAACCCCAGGTGCGACCACTCCGAGGCCTAACGTGTTCACACCTCCTCTTCCAGTGCCTGCAAGAGGTGAACAAGTTCATAATCCTGCAGAGGAGCAAGAACAGGCGGTTGAGCTTGTAAACGCGGAAGAAGAAAACGAAAGCATAAAAGAAGAAATTGAAAACGTCACAAATCTTGAAGCTTTTGCCTGCGACTTGAGCCTTTTTGGTGAAGAAGCTGTTCGACAAGGTGCAGTGCCAATCGACAGTTCAAGCGGAAGTGACGAAGAGTCTGAAAGCAGTTCATCTTCAAGTGACATACTGAGCTCATGCCGTGGCAAAGATTCTTTTAGAGAAGTCGCGCCGGCAGGTTCTGTGTACTACAAGCACGTTAAGACCTCAAGGGTCCATCGTGTGCGTGTTGGCAAAGAAGCCACAAATTGTGGTAAGAAGTTGAATGAGAACTTTAAGGAGCTTGAGCCGGTCATTTACATAAGGCTTCCAAAATGCCTGATTTGTTTCCCAAGTGCCGAAGGGCGAGTTAGGACGCGTGAAGATGCCATAGCTCGATTCGACGCAGCTCTGAAGAGGGCGCGCGTTTGACTCGTGACCAAAGTGGTCAAAAACAGCTTGTGCAGAGTGCCAAGTTTGGTGAAGTACCATTTATGCTTAAGAGCAAACTTCCTTTATGCTTAAGAGCAGTTACCAGAAAGCTGGTTTTGTACATGGAATGCCATGTGCGTTTTGAGACTTGGTTTCAGTTTCATGGGAAGCCATGCACTGTTCCGTTTCATGGAAAGCCATGCGTGAACTTCGGCTCGAAGGAGCACAAGAGACATATTGAGTTAATGGCCGGGAATTTTTCTTCCAGTGCTTGTTCAGCTGTTCATGCTCTTCATGTCAATCTCTTTTTGTTTTGGTTTTTGCACTTTCAACCTCGCGCGATGTCGAGTGTCGTTGACAGTGAGGCACACTTTGACCTTCGGTTGAGTGAGCTTGGATTGAGTGATCCTTTCATAAATGCACTGAAGATCAAGACCTTATCTCATTTGGCCTGTTCCATAGGCCAACCCAATCAGGTGCTTTCCAACGATGATGTCACCAATTTTCTTCAGGGCCTCCTCGGGCGCGCTCCGTCGCTCGTTGAGAGTAGCAGTACAAAGAGGCTCACTTTTGAAGCACAGACATATGTTGTGGCTACTCTCCGACAAGGGCTTGAGCAGCAAGATGAGGCTGTACCAAGGAGAGTGGCCCATGCAGAGAGGACCACAAGGATGAGTGCACTTCAGTTGGCGTTGTCCGGAGTCTCAATTTCTGGAGAACTTGACCCTGCACACATTCTTCTTGACAAAGCAACTGCCATGTATGAACAGAACATTGTTAAATACATTGAGCCTTCAGCTTGCATCAGCAGGGCTTT